CTCCACCCTGACCACGCCCCCAGCCCCCCCTCTGGGGATCCTAGGTGGGGCTCCACCCTGACCACGCCCCCAGCCCCCCCTCTGGGGATCCTAGGCGGGGCTCCACCCTGACCACGCCCCCAGCCCCCTCTGGAGATCCTAGGCGGGTCCACTCACCGAAACACTTGCTCTGGTTGGTAGCCCGATCCATAAACACCTTGGAGGAGATGATATTGCCGAAGGGGAGGAACATCTGGGTCAGCTCCGTGTCTCCAAACTCCTGGGGGAGGTGGTAGATAAACAGGTTACAGCCTTCGGGACCTGTAGGTGGGGGAGAGAAAGACATAAAGCCCCCAAGGAGAGGAGGCGGACCCCCCCTGGGTTGGGGTCCAGCACTTGTCTCTGGCTGTGGATGCAGTGGGGGCTTCTCGAGACCCCCAGAGAGAACGGTGGGGAGCAGAGGTGAGTCCTGAGAGCCTTGATCCCCCCATGTGCTGCTCACCCAGCCAGTGCTCATCACAGACCAAACCCAGACACCTCCTTCCCCACCCGAACCCCACAAGCCGAGGTCTCCGCCTCCCAGATTGACTCCCTAAGCTCCACGTCCTCCACTGCAGCCCTCCACCTCCAGGCCATGTGCTGGAGCCAGGTGAACGGGGTGCGGGGGTGCTGGGGGGTGCTGGGGTGCTGGGGGGCGCTGGGCGGTGCTGGGGGTCGCTGGGGGGCGCTGGGGGTGCTGGGGGGCGCTGGGCGGTGCTGGGGGGTGCTGGGGTGGCTGGGGGTGCTGGGCAGTGCTGGGGGGCGCTGGGGTGCTGGGGGGCGCTGGGGGGTGCTGGGGGCGCTGGGGGGCGCTGGGGGGGCTGGGCAGCGACTCTGCGGGCCTCGTGCTGGTCTAAGACACACCTGACATTTAAAGAAGCCTGGAGGCCGGGCTGCTGGCACACACCTGTCAGTCATCCCAACACTTGGGAGGCTGAGGCAGGAGGCTGCTGTGTTTATGGGTCTAGTGTAAGTTACACGGTGAGGCCTAGTCTCACACGCACACACACACACGCGCACGCGCACACACACACATGCACACACACACACACACGCACACACACACGCACACACACGCACACACACACACACACACACGCACACACACACACACGCACACACACACGCACACACACGCACGCACACACAGACACTCGCACACACGCACACACACGCATGCACACACAGACACTCGCACACACGCGCACACACACACACACACACACGCACACGCACACACGCACACACACACATGCACACACACACACACACACACGCACGCACACCTATACACACGCGCGTGCAGAGAGAGAGAGAATTCGTTCAGGGGGTGGCTGTAGCTGGGGTATAGAGGGTGTCTGTCTGTCTGTCCGTCTGGTTAATGTTGGGGGAGCTGTGCCACAGTGCCTGTGTGAGGTCAGAGGACAACCCGCGTGGGTCCTCCACCACGTGGGCCCTGGGATCAAATTCGGGTTCTTAGGCTTGGTGGCGGCGCCTTGTCGCGCGCGCCGAGCCATCCTTCCGGCCTGGGGTTGGAGGAGGGACCTCCCTAGTGTCCCGCACGTGCGCGGGTGGCTTTGGCCCCACGGTGTCCGGGGGACACGGTGTGGCCCGCGGTGGGACAGCCCAGGGCAATGGGCTGGAGCCCGGCTCCCGCGCGCAGAGGGGCGGCCTGAGGCTGACACCCCTCCCTGTCCCCTCCCGGTCCAGGGACTTCGCGATGCCTCCCGGCCTACACAGGTGAGGACAGCACGCCTGAGCTGCAGATGGGGAAACCGAGGCACTGGTCACAGTGCCCAGGCAGAGGAGGATGTGACTGGCCTTGGGTCGCCGGACTCCGTACGCCTGCTTCCTCCCGCATTCCCTCCACAGGGCTGGCTTCACTGGGAAGGCCTCAGTTTACCCAGATACCTCCTCGGACTCCGGACTCCTGTTTCCTCCCGCATGCCCTCCATAGGCTCGGCTTCACTGGGAAGGCCTCAGTTTACCCAAGATGCCTCCTCACACAAACGAGCACCAAAAAGGGGGTTTCCAAGCTTGTCCATAGGGGGTGGGAACCGCGAGGGCCGCCGTTCCACGGAGGGGCGAGTTCAGCAGTGCAGGTGAGGGCGGGGCTGGCTGGGGCCGCCTCACCTTCGCGCTGCTGCTGCAGGAGGTGCGGAGGCTGCGGGACGCCGTGCGCCACGGGCGCGAGAGCCGCGGTGGGGTACATGGCTGCGGAGAGCAGAGGCGGAGCCGGGCTGAGGGGCGGGGCCGG